CACTTTCATTGTAAGAAGAATATGACTTTGCTTCTCCACTTAAAAATCTTCAGTGCTTCACCGTTATCTAATTTACACCCTTCATTTCAAATTTATATTCAAGTCACAAGCCTCAATTCCAGTTCCTACAATTTCTGACCACAATCTGCAAGTCTGGTTTTATATTCCACTGTTTCTCATTTAACACATTCTAGATTCTAGTCCATGACAAATACACATGCTATTCCCTGAATGAGTTTATCTTTACCTAGTCCTGCTTTCGTAATTCTGTTCTTCCTACAGCTCCACCTAGATAACATTTTTGTATTGCCTCTCTCATGTTGGAACCCACAGCAGTTTTTCTGTGGGTCTTATCACTTTTTTCACTCTGCTTTTTTATGTTGTGCTGCTGTTGTTGATACTGTTCATTCGCTGAGTCTGATTCTTCGGGACCCCAGGGACTACAGCACACCAAGCTTTCCTGGCGTCCATCACCATTTCCTGGGGTTTGCTCAAGCTCATGTCCATTGAGTTGGTGATGCCATCCAACCATCTCATCCTCTGTCATCGCCTTCTCCTCCTGCCTGAAATTCAATTCTTTTCCAGCATCAGGGTCTTTTCCAATGAGTTAGTTCTTCACCTCAGGTGGTTGGAGTATTGGAACTTCAGCATCAGTCCTTCCAGTGAATATTCAGGGTTGATTTCCTTTAGGATTGACTGGTTTACTCTCCTTGCAGTCCAAGGGACTCTCATTTCTTCAGCACTCAGCCTTTATGGTCCAACTTTCACATCTGTCCATGACTACTGGAAAAACCATAGCTTTGACTGTATGAAACTTTCTAGTGTAGCTTTTTAACCTGTAAGCTTGATCTTTTCATCATCATAATTGATTTTTAGTGTGCATTTTCTTCCTTTTGTATCTCATTCTGAGTTAAGCAGTGTTGGCAGTTAAGAAGCAATCTAGAAATGTTTTTAGTTGAATAACATTTGAAAATAGAAATCAATATTGTTTCCAGGGAAAATGCATAGGATTAGTACTAACTGATTGATAATCCAGAACAAAGGAGACCTTGCCTTCCTACCTGCCCTGCTGTAGAGATGCTGGACTGGGCCAGCCTAAAATGCATTACTGTGAAGGAGTAATTTCACAGGGATGTTGCCCTGACTAGAAAGACTAAGAGGAAACTTACGGAATAAATGATCCATGAAAAAGGTTGAATGAAATACTGAAAATGGAAATTCAGTAAAGATAAGCACTGAAAATCACAGGTTCTGCTTAATCTTTGCTCTAAATTTGAAAATGTGGCTTCTGTAATTTGTGTAACTTCTCATTTAATGTGCAGTTCTCCTCATAGAGCTTCATGTTTATGTAGGTGCAGACAGAAAAAGAATATCCTCTGGTGATTTATTTGGAGAAGGCCAAGTCAACAGAAAATCACCTCAGACTGTCTGCCTCATCGAATTATATTTATACATATACAAAGAGACACATTCATACTATGGGAAGGAAAACACAAAAAGTTTAATACTTTTTAGCCCTTTGACCATTACACATTTTTCCCCCTGGGCTTAATTCATTTGTCATAATCTTTCTGAGGGTCTGCTGTATCCCAGCTGCTGGGATAAAATAGTTGAAAGGACAGACTTTCAAATTTTTTCATACCCTAACTTAATGAATGTGGCATATCTTTTGACCTACTGTTTTTGTAACAACTTTGATATTATCATATTGAGTCTCTGAGGCTCTGTTAAATTTTCTTTTTTGCTTTTTTCCTGTCTCTGCTTTAGTTTGTTTAGTCACTCAGTTGTGTCTTGCTCTTCACGACCCCATGGGCTGTAGCCTACCAGGCTCCTCTGTCCTTAGAATTTACAAGGCAAAAATACTGGAGTTGGTTGCCATTTCCTCCTCCAGGGGATCTTCCTGACGCAGGGATTGAACCTACATCTCTTGCATTAGCAGGTGGATTCTTTTCCCGTTAGAAGCCCTTGCTTCAGTTTTGGTAGTTTTGGGTGGTTTGTGTTTTTTTTTTTTTTTTTTGCTCTTCTTCAAATTACTCTTTTTATAATTTACACTTCTTTATTGGTATTTCCCATTTTACCCTTAATTACATTTGTATTTTCTTTTAAATCCCTGAATTTACTTAAATGTCAAAAATTCATGGCTCCTAATTTCATCATTCCTAGATATTCTTATATTGGTTTTTCTCCAGGTTATGGTCACATTTTCTAGCTTCTTCATCTGTCTAATAATTCTATATTGTATGCTAGACACTGTGGATACTACATTTTTAAAAAAATCTTATTTAATTATTAAAGAAACTTCATTCCTAGGAACTGCATCTTCAGCAGCATCATATAGTGACTTCCAGTCTTGGTGGTCATCATACCTACCTTTACCTTAAAGATTTGGCTTCTGTTTAGTCAGAGACTAAGACCTTGAACTCTACATCGAACTTTTTGTTTACTTATTTTTTAATTATGAAAACCTTTTTAATTTTCTAGCATGTTTCTGGTCACTCTTTGATATTTTTTATTCTTAATTCTTATTTTACCACATCATCCCTCTTGTAGGCTCTGAATGCTTTAGCAGTTGAGTTTATTCTCTTAACTAATTTTATTCATTCTTTTTCTTTTGAAAAATGTTCAGGTAAAAGAAGACATGATAAAAATCATTATATTCTTTCATTTTCAGATGGCCTTAAAAAGTTCCTAAGAGTTATCTTAGTAGCCTTCTCCCAATCCCTACCCATGATTTTCATTCTCCCCAAACAGTTATTTTCTTTAATACCTTCATTTTTCATGCAAGTGATAGCAAGCCTTCCTTATTGTCCACATAACTGAATTGCATCTTGCCTTTATTAATACTGTGAGTTATCCCTCTTTTTATCAGAAAAAATCTAAAAGGTAAGAATGAGATGAGGTTGAAATAGTCTGGATCAGAGGATGAAAACCTGAGATTGAGTTGAAGACAGGGTAGTTAAGAACTCAAATTTAAGGTAGATTATCCTTAAAACTTGATAAGAGAGAAAAAGACCATTATACCAGAGGTGAGTGTCTAAATTCTGAAAATTTTAATTAACTTGTGTGAAAAATATTACTTGAATGTTTTTCTAACACTCATTTCTTAGGTTAAAATCAGTGTGTGTAAATAGATTGGGTTTTGGAAAAGTCGTTTTAGTATCTGCAGATTTAAATTAAAGCTACTTATTTTTGAAAAGAGGTTGTAACTTGCTAGAAAGTTTTTAGTTCCAAAGATACATCGTTTAGAAATGAGTTTCACTTAAATACTAACATTTCATAGTCAAAAATGACTTAAGAGAGCATGCTAGTCATGTAAGAGAGGATTACCCCTCTATGATCCTTAAGAGCCAGCTTGTCTAATCTTCAAGATTTCAAGTTAGGTGTTTTAATCTAGTTTAACTATTCATTAAAACTTTTACTGAAAGCTGTGCCGAAGTCCATAGGAAGTATAGAACGTGGTCTTATAAAACAAATCAGAACTATTTCAGTTGGAGGTATTAGAGCCTTAACTTGAATTAACAAAAGCCAGAAAGGATAATTTATTGATCCCCAGAGAAAACAGAGGCAACTCTGACCTCAAGGAACCTGGATGCTTGTGTCTGCCCCTGTCTGTCTAGTCATTTCACTCCCGGTAGCTTGATTGCTCTTCCTCCCTCGCCCTCTGTGACACTTGCTGTCAGAGGTCATATTTGCTGTTCATGCTCTGCTCTTTGCATCTCTGTCCAGCATGACACATTTTTGGCTTTTGATTTTTGTTGCTTTGTGTCAGTCTTGATCTCTTTATGTCTGCTGTCTTCTTGTTCAGTGTCCTTCCTCTGCATTCCTCTACCCCTTTCTCTGTCAGCTGATTCCATTTTCTCCCACCACAGAAAGGCATTCCCATGTGGCTGTGGGCTGCCCTGCATCACATTCTTCCAATTCATCAACCAGAGAAGAAAAGATGCTCTACTCTCCAGCTCCAGTTATAAAAATCCATAGGAAAGGACTTTCTCCCGTAGCTTACCTAGCCGGAAACGGGGCTCTGTTTCCTTTTGAAATAGTGGGTTAAGTTGGAGAGGAACAAATTAGTGAATGTTTGACACAGGAGATGAGACTTAAGTATTTGAATGAAGATTCTGTAGTTTTCAGTTAATACTCTCATATGAGTGCTTATTTGTTATGAAAATTCCTGTATGTTCTACTCACTTTTTTCATATCTGCTTCAGTATTCATGCTTTTTCATTTATAATATGAATCAAGTGAGTATAATGTTTAGAAATACTACTGAATAGTCCACTTCAGCAGAGTTTTATTTCCCAAAATACATTCTCATTTTCTGAGTGACATTTAAATTTACATTTTTTAAAAAATCTGGTAATTCTTTTACAAATATCTGAGACTAGTATATTTACAAAGTTCAGCTTGTTAGTATAAGTTTATTTTCTTCAAGATTGCCTAGAGTAACCTTGGCTTTTCTTTGCTTATTGTTAGATTGAGTAATAAGTTATTGGAAAGGGATAAGTATTTGTTCAGTCCTTCATAGTTGTTGCATTTTTGCAGTTTTCAGTATTGTTATTTACCTGTTTTATACTTATTTCTTAATTTATGTGACTCCCTACTCTACTAGACTGTGGTGAAAGAATAATAACCTTATTTAAAATAGCCAACGTAAACTAAGAAGGTACTCCTAAAATGATTGTAAACTGTCTTTCTTTCACTTCATATTTTAAGAAATGTACTTTTAAGGAATATAAGTGTTTTTTGGAAAAACGTATTAATACATTTAGTGATGTTTGAATCTCTTGACCATTTTATACTTACTGTCGGAGACTTATGTATGATGGCCTGTATTTTGGGCAGAGAACCTTTTATTAATAAGTATCATTTTGTTTTTGATCCAACATACAGTGTTGCCTAATTCTTGATAATATTTAGTGGAAGGGATAGTTTTATTTCATTCAGATTGTAATACATAATTTTTATAACATAAAGTGATAAGTGATCGAGATTTCTTCCTGTAGGCTACCGAAAGTGAGGTAGGAGATGTCGATTTAACACGTCTTCCAGAAGGACCTGTTGATTCTGAAGATGAAGAAGAGGAAGATGAAGAGATTGATCGAACAGATCCTCTGCAGGGGCGAGATCTTGTCCGAGAATGTCTGGAAAAAGAACCTGCAGATAAAACTGATGATGACATTGGTAAGAAATACATCTGCTCACAATAGGAATATATAGTTTAATGTATATATAGTTACCTGTTGGTGCATGACACATTATCGCCAAAAATTTTTTGTGGGTCAGGAATTCAGGAGCAGCCTAGCTGAGTGATTCTGGCTCATTCTGTCTCACATGGTTGTAGTCAGAATGTGGCAGGGATTATAGTCATCTGAGGCTTCACTGGGCTGAGCTAGAGGATCTGCTTCCAAGGTGGCTGCTCATGTGACTTTGGTCATAGAACCTCAGTTCTTCTCCACGCAGGCCCCTCCAGAGCTGGCTTAAAAGTTCGCACGACATGGCAGTTGGTTTCTCCCAAAGCCAATAATTCAGGGGAGAATAAGGCAGATGCCACAGTGTCTTTTTTGATCTGACCTCCGGAATGACACATCATTACTTCTTCCCAGTTATGTTTGTCACACAGAGCAACCCTCATGCAGTAAGGGAGGGGACTGCATCCAGACATGACCATCAAGAGGCCGGATTTGTCTGGGGACATCTTTGAGGCTAGCTGCCCTGATATGAGAGCTTCTTTGGAGGTTCTAGCAGTGGAACACAACTCCTCATATACCCTTAACCAAAGGATGGTTCCCCTTTGTCAGGGAATGTTCTCTTCAAAATACTCCTGTATCGGGACAGCTTGTCATCTTTGACTAAGTGTACAACTTCAGGAGGGACACATGCTTGAAGCAGTAAGGGAGGAAGGGGACACTTGCCTGGACAACCAGATCAGCTGAATCAACCTTGACGATCTTTGGGTGATGAGAGGCCTCACATTCTGTTTGCCCCAGTTTATAAAACAAAAGCTTTGATTGCATTAAAGTGGTTTTCCCTTTCATGTCCATAAGACGTTTACAACACAGGACATCGGTGTCCAGTGTCTGTGAATTTTAAAAGATTTCAGATGTTATTAAAAAAAATCATAGTTTTGCCTCTCCAGCTTTTGATTCAAATTTTATGAATTTTTATTTAATTTCTTGTAATTTACATTAGAGATTGAATAATACTAAAGATGCTAATGTCATCTTTAAGGACAGAGATTACTTAGTATCATTATATATTATGATTCATTTAAAATTTTATCCTAGATTTCTGTTTTCAGAGTTACATTGCTGTGATTCAAATCAGAAGATATTGCTAGTAATTATTATAGTCTATGGGAGTGAAGATCAATATGTTTAAACATTCCTTATCATGCTAATAACATATAGTATAGTTACGCAACCTACAGTTGAGACTCATGCTGTGAATGCTATCTGGACAGAAACTGTAAGTGCATTTTCAGTGATAAAGAATTGTACACTATGCACTTTTTACAAAGTTTATTTTAAAAATGAAATATAATTAACTTACAGTTATCTGTGGGTTGATAACTCCTTATCATTTCCCCCTACTTCAGCTTTAGCTGACTGCTTAAATGTATTTTTTTTCCTTTATATTTGTCTTTATCACTCACATATCTATACAAGGGAAGGGACTCAGGCACTCAAACAGTTCTTGGTTAAATTAGACAGTTACCTTGTATTTGCTTTGACAAGTCTTAAAGTAGTATTCACATTTGTTATCCCTAATTTAATTACTTACTGACATTTATTAATAACTACTTAAAACTCTCGCCCATAAGAAACAGACAGAAGCTCTTTTCAGTAATTTATTAGATCAAAGGGCATCACTAAACCTAACCACCCTGAAATAGCATCTCCTGCAAGGAGAATTAGCTAAACTCTCCAGCCTCATCTGAGCCTGTAGTTTCCAGGTTTTCTCTGAATTCTGGTGTCTCCATTATGCCTGTATTTTTGTGTGAGTCTGAATGTATCCATTAACCAGATTTTTTTAAGCAATAGTCATCTTGCATCTTGGCTTCTCTAGTTAGGCATCATGAATTCCTAAGTTGATTAGGAAATTGGGTATTGGATTCTAGATTTTATTGTATCTTTAAACTGTAGTCCTTGATGAGCACTAAACTAGAATTTCTGTTTTCTAACAGAACAATTGCTGGAGTTTATGCACCAACTTCCTGCTTTTGCAAACATGACTATGTCTGTAAGGAGAGAACTCTGCTCAGTGATGATTTTTGAAGTGGTAGAGCAGGCTGGAGCTATTATTCTTGAAGATGGGCAAGAGGTAGGTTAGCCAATAACTGGTACATATTACTTGGTTGTGGCAGCTAATTTTTAGAATGTTTAATTTTCATAAACTTGTATAAATCTTGACTTAAAAGTTATACAGTTTTTTAAATGAATGCTGATTTTGGGGTAGTTATAATATCTGAAGAGATAAGTTTCATTTTTTATTTTGCCTTAATTTTTATTTCCTGGCCATGGACTTTACACAAAATAGATGTTCAGTAATTCATTGGGCCAAATTTGTTTAACTTCTCAAATTAAGTTGTAAGACTTGAAAATATTCTTATTATTAGTATATTTATAATATTATTAAATGTTTATCAAGTATTTAATCTCTTTATCCCTTTTTTATATTACCCATTTTCTTTTTAAATGAAGGAAATGTATTCGTACCTGTGCCTCCTAGTGAACTGCTGTCAGTTGAGGTGTTTATGTGGCAGTTTTGTTTTTAAAAATGCTTGGATGGTAACTTGTGGATGGGTGGAGGGGAGGATTCAGAGGAATTGAAATGTGTTACTGCTATTAGGTAGCACTTCACTGGTTTTCTTATTGAACTGATAAAAATTGATAGTGAGATATCAGTCAATGAACATTGTCATATATACTGTTAATAGGAATATAAGCAGTTTTTCTGGAAAATCATTTAGCAATTTTTAACATGGGCTTTTAACAGTCTCTAATCTATCATTACCCTTCTGAATGTCTCTCCTCCAGACACAATATAAAACTCAGAGTTATGGCAAAAGGTATTCATTGCGACATATGTATAATATTAAAAATTGGAAATAACCAAAATATATCCCCCAAATAAGCAGTGGTTAACTAAATGAGTATATGGCCACAGGTTATAATATCATATAGGTTTTCAAATGATTGTAATAGAAATCTTTGATTTGATAGAAATCTTTGAAGGTAGGGCCTTACCTCTAGCTTCCTTTACATGCTTTCTCCCCGTATCCTAGAAAACATTTAACACATGGAATATACTAAAAAAAAAAAAAAGTTTGAACAAATGAATATAGTATTAAATTTTTTTAAAAGCATAGAATAAATAGTTCAACAGTGTGAGATAAGATAAACACAGGAGGACGGGTACTCTTTTGCCCCCTTCTGATGCCTATGTCAGAAGCTTTCTCTATCTCCTTTATACTTTAATAAAACTTTATTACACACACACACACAAAAAAAGATAAACACAGGAGGAAAATACTAAACTTTTAATGACAGCTATACAAACAGTAGGATTTTAAATAACCTTTCCACAAATTTTGTCTTTTAATTTTTTACAGTTCTGTCAGCAAAACTTTGTTGCGTGCCTGCTTTTTGCCACGTACTATTCTAAACACTGTGAGGATAGTGGTGGAAAAACCCAACACGGGCCTTGTCCTCAAGTAACTTGTATAATTGTAAAATTTCACAATAATTACATTTTATATTTGAAATAACAAAGCCCCACAGTTTTGACAAAAATATTTCTTCTTGTCACTGATTCTCCTTATGAACTGATAATCCAGATTTTCCTTAAATCACATTAAAATTTTTGAAAGTTTAGACTAATAAAAAGAATATTAAATGAGAACAAGTAGTCTTTCATGGATATGCAGTAGGCATTGCAATATGTCTCTTTACAGCATTAAATACTTTGGTATAAATTGAGAGCAGTATTTTCTTACCATTAGAAATTTTTGATATATTTTTAGGTATACCTTAAAATTCAGGTTTTTAATAGTTTTTCATAATCATTAGCTACCTTTTTTTTTTTCTTTTGAATGTTTGCTGTGTGCCAGACATTATTCCAGTCTGGAATTTATTGCTATTTATTACTTGATTTATAATAAACTCATTTTTAATTGACACAAAAGTTCAGTTGTGATAGGTGATATTATTCCACCCATTATAGCAGTAGAGAAACTGAAGCAACTTTCCCAGACTCATTCAGCTGGTCAGTGGCAGATGTGGATTCAAATTCCAAGAGTTTGTGGTCTTACTTCCAGATGAGTACGTCAAGAGAAGCCAAAGGCAAAGGAGAAAAGGAAAGGTACACCCATTTGAATGCAGAGTTCCATAGAATACCAGGGAGAAATAAGACATCCTTCCTCTGTGATCAGTGGAAAGAAATAGAGGAAAACAATAGAATGGGAAAGACTAGAGATCTCTTCAAGAAAATTAGAGATACCAAGGGAACATTTCATGCAAAGATGGGCACAGTAAAGGACAGAAATGGTATGGACCTAACAGAAGCAGAAGATATTAAGAAGTAGTGGCAAGAATACATAGAAGAACTATACAAAAAAAGATTTTCATGTTCCAGATAACCACGATGGTGTGATCACTCACCTAGAGCCAGACATCCTGGAATGTGAAGTCAAGTGGGCTTTAGGAAGCATCACCACAAACAAAGCTAGTGGAGGTGATAGAATTCCAGTTGAGCTATTTCAAATCCTCAAAGATGATGCTGTGAAAGTGCTGCACTCAATATGTCAGCGAATCTGGAAAACTCAGCAGTGGCTGCAGGACTGGAAAAGGTCTGTTTTCATTCCAATCCCAAAAAAGGGCAATGCCAAAGAATGTTCAGACTACCACACGATACCACTCATCTTACACGCTAGCAAAGTAATGCTCAAAATTCTCCAAGCGAGGCTTCAACAGCTCGTGAACCATGAACTTCCAGATGTTCAAGCTGGATTTAGAAAAGGCAGAGGAACCAGAGATCAAATGACCAACATCTGTTGGATCATCAAAAAAGCAAGAGAGTTCCACAAAAACATCTACTTCTGCTTTATTGATTATGCCAAAGCCTTTGACTGTGTAGGTCACAACAAACTGAGGAAAATTCTTCAAGAAATGGGAATACCAGACCATCTTACCTGCCTCGAGAGAAACCTGCATGCAGGTCAAGAAGCAACGGTTAGAATTGGACATGGAACAACAGACTGGTTCCAAATTGGGAAGGAGTATCTCAAGGCTGCATATTGTCACCCTGCTTATTTAACTTATATGCAGAGTACATCTTGTGAAATGCTGGGCTGGATAAAGCACAACCTGGAATCAAGATTTCTGGGAGAAGTATCAATAACCTCAGATACACAGATGACACATCCCTAATAGCAGATAGTGAAGAGGAACTAAAATGCCTCTTGATGAAAGAGGAGAGTGAAGAAGCTGGCTTAAAGCTCAACATTCAAAAAACTAAGATCATGGCATCCAGTCCATCACAAATAGATGGAGAAACAGTGGCAACAGTGACAGACTTTATTTTCTTGGTGATTTTCAAAATCGCTGCAGATGGTGACTGCAGCCATAAAATTAAAAGACACTTGCTCCTTGGAAGTAAAGCAACCTAGACAGCATATTAAAAGTCAGAGACATTACTTTGCCAAATAAGGTCCATCAGTCAAAGCTATGGTTTTTTCAGTAGTCATGTATGGATATGAGAGTTGGACTATAAAGAAAGCTGAGCACCAAGAATTGATGCTTTTGAACTGTGGTGTTGGAGAAGACTCTTGAAGTCTCTTGGACTGCAAGGACATGAAACTAGTCAGTCCTAATGGAAATCAGTCCTGAATATTCATTTGAAGGACTGATGCTGAAGATGAATCTCCAATACTTCGGCCACCTGATGTGAAGAGCTGACTCATTGGAAAAGACCCTGATGCTGGGGAAGATTGAAGGCAGGAGGAGAAGGGGACAACAGAGGAGGAGATGATTGGATGGCTTCACCGACTCAATGGACATGAGTTTGAGCAAGTTCGGGATTTTGGTGATGGACAGGGAAGCCTTGCATGCTGCAGTCCATGGGGTCTCAAAGAGTTGGACATGACTAAGCGACTAAACTGTGGTCTTAGCCATAACGTTATTTTGTCTTAAGAGTATTTTGGCCAGTTATGAGGGTCCCTGATTTCCTTTGGTGACTAAAGAAGAAAGAGTAAAATAAACTGTAGTCGTTTGCTTAACAGAAACAGGGTGTTATTTAGTAATATATTCTGATCTGACAGAATATTCAGTAATATAATGAGATCTTTTATAAATTATATGAGTTCTGTGTACTGATTATTTTTCAAAGTTAACACATAATCATCTTTTCTCAAAGATTCTTAAAACCTGTCATCTTCTCTATAGCTTGATTCATGGTATGTTATTTTAAATGGCACTGTGGAAATCAGTCATCCAGATGGAAAAGTTGACAATCTCTTTATGGGAAATAGTTTTGGAATCACACCCACTCTGGATAAACAGTACATGCATGGAGTTGTTAGGACTAAAGTAGATGACTGTCAGGTAAGCTTATCACTGGTCGTGTTCTCTTGTTTCTTTTTCTAAAAATTTTTTTCTTTTATATTGGTGTAGAGTGGATTATTTATGTTAGGATAGTTTTAGGTAGACAGCGAAGGATAGTTTCAGTCGCACATAAGTGTTGTATCTACTCTCCCTCAAGCTGCACTCCCACCCTGGCTGCCACCTAACATTGAGCCGAGTCCCCTTTGCTGCAGAGTGGGTCTTTGTTGGGTGTCTTTTCTAAATCTAGCAGTGTATGTTCTTTTGTTTCTGGGTTTTTTTGTTTTTTTTTTTTTTTGTTCTCCTGTTTCTTGATTTTAAATGGCTGAGCCTTTTTCCTTCCTCAAAATAAAATAGCTTGATTTGAGAATTAGAAGTTTGAAAAACTCACAGTTAATAAAGGAAAATAGATTTTATATCTGATGCAAATATTTGTGGAATTAAACTATACATATTTTAAAGAGAGTATACCCAATAAATGTTTATTTGTTAAATATCTATATGATATTAGCCAGCTCAGTCTCCTTTTTGTTTTTTTTTTTTTCAATAGAGGAAGAAATAGGAACTTCTGAGTTGTTTGTTTCTAACTTACTCCTGCTTCATGTTTTCTTTGCATAGTGTCAGTTTTGAAAGAAGTATTTGCTTACTTCTCCTTTTAGAACAGAATTCACACGGATTTAACTTCTTTGGTCTTTTTGTGCATGATTTATTTATTTTACCTTGATTTTTGTTGAGTAAAGGAGCTAAATAAAAAAGAACTGATGTCACTTGAGTTCTTACCTTTGTGCTCTGCCTTGGTGCATAGTGATATATTTATGTATTATAGGTTTATTAATTGTCCCCATGTTGTTCTTGGACAGTTTGTCTGCATAGCCCAGCAGGATTATTGGAGAATTTTAAATCATGTTGAAAAAAATACCCATAAAGTTGAGGAAGAGGGAGAAATTGTTATGGTACATGAGCATCGTGAACTGGATCGAAGTGGAACCAGGAAAGGACACATTGTAATTAAGGTGGGTGTGTTTTACTTATTATTCTTTTTATTGATAGAATAAAACCTTCATCTTGTTTAAAAGACTTTGAACTGCTTATTAAGTAGTGCAAGATAATTCACTGACTTTGGGATCCAGTGTATATAAATGTGTCCTTTTGACTTTCTCTTAGTTGGTTTTTAACAGCATTTTATTGGGTAAAGATGACACTGCCGTGTAATTTCAGTATGGAAGGATATTACTTAGAATTTACCAGTCAGAATTTTCGTTCTCAAATTTATGATTCATCAATAATGGGAGTTAATTTCATCAAAGATAGCAATATTTAGAAACAAAAGAGAAATTGAAAGGACCAACCATCAATGTACAAAGAATCCTAGATGAAGATGGAGAGTGCTTATGGGATCTCTGTGTCATTGAAATAGGCATTAGCCTCTCTGAACCTCAGTTTTTTTATCTGAAAATGGGGATACTATGGCAGGTCTTCATTAGGGCTAAATGTAGCAAATCAAAAGCCTTAGCATGCTGTAGAGTCTAAGTATTAGTACCCATGTTGTTTTCCCTTCTCTGATTCCCTCTTCCCTCTGATCCTTGCCCCCTTGCCTTTCACTTTCCTGTCTGCCTGTTTTAATGGCATCTGAATCTCAAGAAAGAAATGGCAACCCACCCCAGTATTCTTGCCTTGAAAATCCCATGGACAGAGGAGCCTGGCAGGCTACAGTCCGTGGATCACAAAGAGTCGGACATGACTGAGCAGACACAGATGTAAAATAGAGCAATTATAGTTGGAAGAGAGAAAATAAATGCTTGACTTTTCTTTTCAAGCTAGTGTTGGTTGCAAAATAGCTAAATGTGTTATTTTTCATTATAAGAACAGCAGTTTATTTAACAATAAGAGGGACTGGTTAGTCAGATCAGATATTCCTTAAGAGTCAGACTATTTCTAAACACTCATTTTCTTTTCCTAAGCTGATCAGTGTAAGCTTTCTGTGTAGGAAAAAATTTGAATATATGTGTGGATTGTCACAGGCTGTCTTTCTATGAAGGCTCATGTTGAGGCTTTTTTTTTTTAAATAATTTCAAACTTACAGAAAAGTTGCAAGAACAGTATAGAGAGTATCCTGACTCAGATTCTCCCACTGTTAACATTTCCCTGCATTTTCTCCATTTTCATCAGTTTTTTTAAACCTTTTGAGAGGAGTCTGAAAATGTGATGCCTCATTACTTCAAAATATTTCATTGTGTACTTCCTAAAAATAAGAACAGTCTCCTACATAAACACCATGGAACCCTTCAAGTTAGGAAATGAACATTGATAAAGTAAAGCCATTCAGCCCACAGTCCCCATTTAGATTTTCACCAACTCTCCCCAAAATGGCTTTTTTTTCATTTTTGGCTCAATCTCATCCAGGCACACAGTTGCGTTTAGTTGTCATGTCACTTAAGTCTACTTCAGGAATAGTTATTCCTTTTTCACATTCTCAGCAATTTTGATGAATATAGACCTTGTAGTCTGCAGTATGACCCCCAGACTAGATCTGTCCGGTGTTTCCTCATGCCCAGACTAAAGTTACACTTTCCTGGCTGGAACCCCACAGAAATAATGTTCTGCTCTTCTAGTACATCTTAGCGAGCACACAATGTCCTCCTGTGCCACCACGAGTGAAGTTAACCTTAATCGCCTGGTCCTATTGGTGTCTGTCAGGTTTCCTTACTGTGAAATCAGTGTTTTACCCATTGTATGTATTGATAAGCATTTGAGGCATTGATGTTCTGGGATAGTGTCAGTATGTCTTGCAGACCTCTATCCACCAGTCTTAACTTAGATTGACTACTCCTGCCTGAAATGGTGATTTTCTATTTCCATTATTTCTTCTACATTTATTGTCATTCTGCTGTAAGAGTGGGCATTCTCTCCTCTTTGATTATATTGGTCTCATGTATTTCTTTACCATCAGCATTGTTCTGATTGTCTGATTGTCCCAGATTTAGCCACTGGGACCCTCTTAAGGGTGTTGATTCCTATATTCTTCTGACATGTTCCCATCATTTTTGAGAGCTTCCTTGTTATCTGGCAAAACAAGATAGTCCAGGCTCATCTTTTACTTTTCCTGCCCCTGCTTTGAGATCAGACATTGCTCCAGAGAGCCCTGGATCCTCCTAGTAGATAATAGCACTTAAAAACCAAAATCAGGGCGCTCACTCGTTCACTGCTACTGTGGTGTCATTGCTTCTAGAGCATTTCCTCAGAGAGGTAGGAATACGTATTTATTTACTGTAAATTCGTACACATCTGTACCTTTTTATATCTGTCTGTCTCAGTCATGAGCTTATACCAGGACTCCCAGTTCTAGTACTGTACCACAGAGTTAGTTTTGTAGCCTCTTCCTTTCCCTCATTGTAAATAAGCTTATCTAACAGTGACTCTTGTTATGCTCTGTATATTTACTTGTTTGCTCTTTGTAACCAACCCCTACCAGCTAGCCATCTCCTTCACCTGCCCACTCGGCATACCTGTCTCCCAGCATCCCACCTTGTTGGATGCTAGTGAGCAGTTTGGTAAGTGCCTCTGGATGATGATGGAACTTGTCATTAAATACTGCTTTTTAAAATACAACCTAATCTCCACAGATATCCCTTCGTGATTTACCTAATCAGAATAACAGCGTTTCTTTAACATGTCGATCGTTTTCACCCATGACGTAGCTATGTATGATCTGAGAACCAGATTTGAGTGACATCAAATTGTGATTTGCCTGAATGACAGACCCAATTTGGAATTCTTAGAGTGTTTTTGAAGGTGGGAGAATAGGAATGACCTGTGATTGTCTTGTCCCTTAAATAGGTAACTTGAAGAGCCTTTCCTCTGACTTCCTTCTAGAGAAATGATTTACATACCTAATTAGCAGTGGGTACCCTTTTTTAATCTTGTAATAATTTTTTAAACAAGAACATTGTTAGTATTAATGTATATTTGTCATGCAGTAATTCTGGCCAATGAAATCGTTAGGATGGATGCACCAAATTGAAATCTGACATTATGGGCAACAATTGGTTTTTATATTTGGCTTAATACCTGGTTTATTTCTGTATTTGTTCTGCGTACCCATTTTTTAAGATTCTGCTAGGGTAAAAAAAAAAAAAAAAGATGCTGCTAGGGTAATAAATTTTAACAATGATTCAGGAATTCAAGGAAGAGCAATAGATAAATATTACTTTCATTCCTTTTTATAAATTGAGAAAGAGGCAAGCAGTTAAACTGAGTGCATGCAAAAAATGTCTACAGAACTTGTGGTTCCTCCGGCAGACGGGAATGGAGAAACCATAGAAGAGGAAACCCCTGTTCCAAGCAGTGACAATAATAAAACAAGCTATCTCGAACTATGTTGTTCCGATAACCTGGAACAGAAGGGAATTTAAGGATGATTAAATTCGGAAGAAAGCTTTATTTGTTTATTTATTTTCTTTAACTCTCACCTCTTTCTTCTCTTATTTATTTATTTTATTTTTTGCCTGTGGTGGATCTTTGTTGATGCACGGGGGCTTTCTCTAGTTGTGGCAGTAGGGGACTACTCTTCATGGTTATGTGCAGGCTTCTTATTGTGGTGACTTCCCTTGTTAGGGAACACAGGCTGTAGGTGCACAGGTTTCAGCAGTTGCTGTGTGTGGGTTCACTCGTTAAGGCTCTCGGGCTCTAGAGCACGGCTGGTAGTTGTGGTGCACAGGCTTAGTTGCATCATGGCATGTGTGATCTTCCTGGACCAGGGATTGAACCGGTTTCCCTTGCTTTGCAAGGCGGATTCTTAGTCACTAGACCACCAGGGAAGGCCCTCTTCCTTCTCTTTACTCAAGGTAGTCATTATATTATCCCCCCATTGCTATAATGAAATATGGATAAAACAACTACAAGCCAAGGTAATGCTGTTGTGCATGTTTATTCCTCTGCCTTATTTCTCTCTAAACTTCTGAGTGATGATGGACTACATCCTAGAGACACTACCTACTTCCAGTGCTGAGAGTTTTAAAGATGAAACTTTACTTTGAGGACTTTATAATCGAGGAACTACAAAGGGAAGTAATCAATAGGAGTTATTCGGTTCCTTAGCTACTTTTGTATTTTCTAATTCTTCCTTTGTTTTGATTTTTAGGCAACACCTGAGCGTCTCATCATGCATTTAATAGAAGAGCATTCCATTGTGGACCCAACTTATATAGAAGATTTCCTATTAACTTATAGAACATTTCTTCCAAGTCCTTTGGATGTTGGGACCAAACTGTTGGAATGGTTTAAAATTGACAGCTTAAGGGATAAGGTTGGTTTTATAAGGGGCATGAAAGTGATTTTAACCTTTATATTCCCCCAAAACCTTTGGCAGTTGACAAATTAAATGCTTATTTTGATAAGATTCAATTAACCTAAAAAATTAGTGAATCAGTAGACATATCTGGTTACTTTTATGACAAAATAGCTATAAAAAGTGGATTATTTTGCCTTCTAAAAGGCGGACACTGAAATCAGGCTGTGGTGTAGTTATAAATTCAGAAAATGCAGGATAGTAGCCTTGCACTTTTGGAGAAGGCAGTGGCAACCCACTCCAGTACTCTTGCCTGGAAAATCCCATGGACGGAGGAGCCTGGTAGGCTACAGTCCATGGAGTTGAGAGGAGTTGGACACAACTGAGCAACTTCACTTTCACTTCTCTCTTTCATGCATTGGAGAAGGAAATGGCAACCCACTCCAGTGTTCTTGCCTGGAGAATCCCAGGGACGGGGGAGCCTGGTGGGCTGCCGTCTGTGGGCTCGCACAGAGTCAGACACGACTGAAGCGACTTAGCAGCAGCAGCAGCAGCAGCAGCAGCAGTCTTGCACTTTATCAGAATACTTGGTTGTTTCAGAGAAAATCAGTAAAACATGTGAAAGTTTAGAAGGAATATTCACCAAGTACATTTTTTCAAGAGGGCTTAGAAACAATCTAAATAGAAAAACATTGATATTTCTGAGTTAAAGACTTCATAATCATTTTAAAATTTATCTTTTTGAGTTTAATTTGTCACTGCTGTAACCCATTTAAATGCGGCATTGAGGGTTTTGTTTTCTTTTTTTGCATTTAATGTTTAAGTAGATTATCTTAATTTTTTTATGGAGTGTTCATACTTTTCATGGAAAAACTAGTAAAATACTAGTAAAAACTAGTAAAACTAGTATTTCATGGAAAAACTAGTAATTCAGCTTGCTGCTACATAACTACTGAAAAACCATCTCAGTAATAGGAAGTTAGTTATTTTAAGAAAAATAAAAGTAGAGCCATAATTGCCTGGCATATCTTTCTGAGTTCTAGTTTGTACTAAATCGCTTTAGTCTTGTCCAACTCTATGCAACCCTGTGGACAGTAGCTTGCCAGGCTCCTCTGTCCATGGGATTATCCAACAAGAATACTGGAATGGGTTGCCATGCCCTCTTCCAGGGCATCTTCCCAACCCAGGGATCAAACCCTAATCTCTTTGTATCCTGCATTGGCAGGCGAGTTCTTTACCACTAGCACCACCTGGGAAGCTCTGAGTTATACTTTAAAGGAAATTATTTGATACAGTAAGTGTCCAAAACTACAGGCTTGCCTTTCCCTTGCTTTTGAAATTATATATAGTTACTTAGATTGCTGAGGAAATAAAGGCATGCTAGGGAGTGAACAAAAATATGACTTAGGGACAGCTCAATGTGTAAAACGATGAAGTTTGACCTTTACCTTATACCATATTCAGTGTTAACTCAAAATGGATCAGAGACTTAATGTAAGAGCTAAGACTATAATATTCTTCAAAGAAAAGAAGGAGAAAAAAACAAAAACAACACACGACTTTGGATTAAGCGATAGGTTTTTTTAGTGCAAAGCACAGACTTGAACAGTGGATATATAGAATTTCATAAAAATTAAAACATTTCACATTAAAAAGGTTTTTTTAGTGCAAAGCACAGACTTGAACAGTGGATATATAGAATTTCATCAAAATTAAAACATTTTACATTAAAGGAACTATCAGGAAAAACAGAACAACACATGGGATAGGAGAATATATTTGCAAATCGTATGTCTGACAAGGGTCTAGTATTCAGAATGTATAAAAAAACTCTTACAACTCAACAACAAGAAGACAATACAATTTAAAAATAGACAAAGGACTCAAATAGGTATTTCTCCCAAGAAGAGATATAAATGGCCAGCAATCACATTCCATAGGTGTTCAGTATCATTAGTCATGGGGAATGCAAATCAAAACCACAGTGATATTCTGCCTCATACCTACTAAGATGAGTTTATAAAGGAAATATCAAGGATTTTGAGGATGTTGATGTGGAGGAAATTCCCATACATTGTTTGTAGTAACGTAAAATGGTAAAGCTGCTATGGAAAACAGCTCAGCAGTTCTTCAAAAAGTTAAACATAGAATTACTGTGTAATCCAGTAGTTCTACTCCTGAAGTATATAGCCAAAACAGGTAACAGGTGTGCAAACAAAAGTTTGTAAACAAGTGTTCATAGTAGCACTATTGATGATGGCCCATCAACTGATGAATGGATAAGCAAAATATTGCATACTACATAATGAAATATTATTCACCTATTAAAAAAAAAAGTTGGTAAAGAATCTGTCTGCAGTGCAGGAGACCTGGGTTCAGTTCCTGGGTCGGGAAGATTCCCTGGAGAAGGACATGGCAACCCACTCCAGTATTCTTGCCTGGAAAATCCCATGGACAGAGGAGCCTTGCAGGCTATAGTCCATGGGGTCGCAAGAGTTGGACACAGAGCAACTAAACCACCACCATTAAAAAAAAAATGAAAGATTGTTACCTGCTGCAACATGTTATAAGCCTTGAAAATGTACTAAGTCAAACAAGCCAGTCATAAAAGATCACATATTGTATGGCAAATCACAGAGGCAGGAAAGCAAATAGAAGCTGTTCTGGGCTGGAAAGAGGGCACAATGGCTTATTGGGAGTGGGATTTTCTTTTGTGGTGATGATAGTGCTCTGGAACTAGGTAGCTTGGGGATGATTGTACACAATTGAGAATGGGCCAAATGCCACTGGATTGTACACTTTAAAATGGTTAAAATAGTGGATTTTACGTGTTATTTTACCACAATTTTAAAAGTATATAACTTAAATTATTTGTATTGTTATCCACTTTTTTTTTTTAGATTTTGGAAAAATCTCTGGTGTATTTCTTTAGATTTATCTTGGCTCATGTGTGTTTTCTTAATGTTCAAAATGTTTCTTAATATTCTTAATTTTTTTAATGTTTATTGGTCTATAGTTGCTTTATAGTGCTGTATTAGTTTCTGCTGTACTGATTCAGCAAAGTGAGTCTGATATAAGTGTACATATATCTCCCCCTTTTTTGGATTTCCTTCCAATATTAGGTCACCACAGAGCATTGAGTAGAGTTCACTGTACGCACATTATTTAACTGAATGTCCATTTGTTTGTTTTTAACTTTTTTGTTAATCTGTAGTACAGGTTAACAAAGTAATAAATTAATTCACAACTTTGAAAATTACACTGTTTACGAAGGAGGTTTCAGATTTTTGTTACAATTTTGGTGAAATGGTTTCAGCTAAAGAAATACTTGACATTTGCCTGCCCTTAGAAGTTTGCCTTTTAAGATACTGTTCAAAATACACTTCCATGTACTACTTACATGTTAGTATACAGGCTTGTCTTCTCAGTGAAAGCAAAGTCTTGGTTCTCTCTGTTACATAAGGAAGCGAAAGCTCAAACTAAAATGTTCCTCTCTGTTAGAATGAGCCTTTCACGTGTGAGAGGGTGGGCAAAGGGCTTAGCCATAAAGTTCAGTTGTTCCTCAGTTTAGGACTTGCTTTTGGGACTTTATTTTTGTAGGAAGAATTCCTCTCATATAATCACATGCTGCTTCTTCCATGTTTCCACAGGTAACACGGATTGTATTATTATGGGTAAATAATCATTTCAATGATTTTGAAGGTGACCCTGCTATGACTCGATTTCTAGAGGAATTTGAAAAAAATCTGGAAGATACAGTAAGGCTCAGAATTTTATCTTCTTCAGGGTTTGGGGATTCTTACCGATCTCTTCTGTCCCCCTGCTGAAGAACTGCAAAAACTCAGAATAGCTTTCATCTTTTCCTGCGTTCTGAGAACTTTCAAATCTGTATTCTAGACTTCGGCTCATCCTCTGCTACTTCAGCCCAAACAAAGGTCATGCTTCTTCCAGAGTCTTCACTGATTTAGGCATTCAAATACACATATTTATCAGACCTACATTAGACTTTCTGAGTCTCCCTTCTGCATGTGATTTCATTTATTTTTAATATACAACACCTCAGATAATACCCTCAAGGTCTTAACTTTCATGGTAGCTATTTATAAATCTATTTTATTCTTCGTATTAGATATAAAAACTTTGAACTGCAACTCAGTTGTCTGTTCCAAGCAGCTTGAGTTTTTAGGAAATAATAACGCAGCTCAGGAGTTAGATTGCCTGAATCAACAACATTCAGACTTCACCACTTGGTAGATATGTGAACTTAGAAAGATTGTCCAACCTTGTATGCCTCTATTGTCTTATATTATAGATAGTAGCCTCTATGCTGTTGGGATTGTCTGGAGGGTTATAGTGAGCTATGAATATAAGAATCTGCAAACAAAACCTGGCACGGCAGTTTTTCAAGAACCATTGTTATTACAGAGTAGAAGTGGATTAAGTTGAATAAAGAAGGGGAAATTTCAGATTGTTTTGTCTCTTTCCTTACCTCTTGGTTCCTGTAGCCTGTTCAGCAGCACATCTGCTCTATGCAAAATGGGGAGAATGAACAGGGAACTTGATTAAGAGGCCTGTTGAGGCTCACCAACATCATTTGGTGCTTCCATTGCTGGCTATGTAAATATTCAAGGGGCTTGCCTATGAAAAACAGAAACTATCTTGCGATCATGGAATTTTTTTTCCCCCAGTAATCGAGTCAGTCATCAAATATTTACTGAATTCTGCTGTATACTCCAAGCTGTTATATAGGGTCAGAAGAAATGTAAAACTTGGTTTCTATCCTGAGAAAAACTTTAGCTTTTTGTTATAGACATGAAATTTATTTAATACACTATTTGAGAATAGTTGAATTCTCAGCTGATTCATTAAACTGATACTAGAACTTGAAAGTTAAAATATTACTGAGTTTAATGAAGATCTAAAATAATACAGAAAGATTTAAATTATAAGAATAATATTTCTGAAAGAGATGGAGACTTGCATGTGTCTGAGTATTAGACAATGTTTGGGAAGGTGGTTGAAGTCCTTTAAGGTTTTAAATAAAAGTTTAAAAATATTCTGGTTTTATGTAACAGCTAGGAGATAAGCACGATGGTAATACAGAATGTATTGTTACTTAGACTCAGAAAATGAAGAAATTTTTTATGTCATCACTGTCTCAATAAGACACCACTTTGAAATCTTCTCTAACTTGTGATTACCTAGAAATTTAAAAAAACCGTATTAAGGGATCTTATTCTTCAGAGTGCTCTAAGGTGGAAAGTTTCCCTCCTTCAGTTTTATTTACCCATACTTATATATTCTTTATTGACTCTAGTTCTAATAACTTTAGGTTATATTTTTTAAAGCCTATAGGAATAGATAATATACATTTATATATATGTTACCCCTTTCTACTTTGTAGAAAATGAATGGTCATCTCCGGTTATTGAATATTGCATGTGCTGCAAAGGCTAAGTGGAGACAGGTTGTGCTGCAGAAGGCTTCCCGGGAGTCACCTCTGCATTTCAGCCTAAGTGGAGGAAGTGAGAAGGGATTTGGTATTTTTGTTGAAAGCGTAGAACCTAGTAGCAAAGCTGCTGATGCAGGACTGAAGCGTGGTGATCAAGTAAGTAAATAACAACCATTTAAAGCCTTTTTATAAGTAATAGGAGTGCTACTTTTCTCATATAATAGTCTAGTAAGCATGATCAATTTAAGGAAATACTTTTGAAACCTTTTTTTAGAGGTGGTATTTTTAAATGGTTTATTTTTAAAATGTGTTTGTCATATATCCATTACTCTTTAATATAGCATGTCCAGAAACAGCCTGGTAGTCTGGCCAGTATCAATCTGAATGGTCCTGCCCATCCTCCAAGTATTAGGAAACTCTGTCATTTGGCAACTTCACAGTATTCCAGAAAGATCAGTAAGAGAGTTAGCACCCTTGCATGTTTTAAAGGAGTAAGCACTTCTATCCATACCACTCTAAAATTAAGTGGCCAAAGATTTACCATAAATGATGGTTTTGTTTTAAACAGTGTTCACATGGTAACAAAACTATTCGGTACATCCGTAAGTAGAGTGAGCTGGTTGAGGGATTAGGAAAAGGAAGGGGAGATACTGGGAGTAAGTCGATAGGGATTTATTCTCTCCATGGAGGCATTAGTAAACTATAGAACAATATATTTTCAAAAATGAAATTGCTGGCAACTTTGTTACTAAAAACAAATACAGTTCCTAGACCTACCTCAGCATTAGTGATCATGCTAATCACATTCTGCAGAGTTAATAACTGGGAATCTGTATTTTGAACAAAGCTCTCAAAATCTCATGTACACCAGAGTGGTTTTTCTTCTAGCTAAATCATTTGGGAAGCTGACTTTGTTCCACTTAAAAATTTTTGTTTGTTTATGCATTCATTTAGAATGTGACTTTATTTTACTTGTAACCAAACCATGGTGTTTTTTATTTTCTAAAAAGACATTCACAGGGACTTCCCTGGTGTTTCACTTTTTAAAAGAGTCTGTGCTTCCACTATAAGGGGCATAGGTTCAATCCTTGGTCAGGGAACTAAGATCCCACATGCCACATGGCCTGACATAAATCAAGCAAGCAGGCATGCATTCACATTATTAAAAGTTCTGCACTTCAGAACAGTGGCTTTCAACCAGCAGTAATTTTGTCACCCAGGAGACATTTGGTAATGTCTGGAGTTATTTTTGATTGTCATGACTTGGGAATTACTACTGGCATGTAGTGGATAGAGGCCAGGGATACTGCTGAGCAGCCAGGAACACCCTGTGACAAAGCAGCCACATGGCAGTTATCCAGCCCAAATATCAGTGTCTAAGTATCAGTAGTGCAGGGAATTAAGAAACTGATACAAGTGAATCACATATTATAATAAAATACTTTAAAATTTAAGAATAAATGATATAATTTCGAAAAAGAAACTCTGACACAAAGTTTTAATGATACTGTTCTTCCTCTAGGGGAGCTTTTTAGAATAGAGATTTCTGGGCTTTACTCAGACTACTCATTATGAATACCTAGTTGCTAGGAATTTGGAGTCATATATTTATTGGTCAAGTATTTTTTGGTAAACATGTTTAAGAATCTCATTCTTCATAGAAGAAAAAAAGAAAAGAATACTCCAGAGGTTTCATTCCTGAGAGACGAGAGAAATTTATCGTTATTTTACTTTTTCCCTCAGGCCTTCCAAGTATGGTTGAAATTATCTGAGATTTTCAAGAAGTCATTTTTTATGACTTTTATAAGTCATTTTTTAATATTGTGAATATTCTTTTTTAAGAGTACTTTGGCACTTGCATTAAGTTTCATAAGCTTATTACTAAGAATCATTTTGCACCTGCTTACTGCTTTCATTGATCACCTCTACTTCGTCTATGCCACATGGTGCCATTATTTTGATTTATTTCACAGGTGTCTTCCAGTACCTTTTCTAGGACTTCTTTCAGAAAGGGTGAATGAGTACTCTAGCTTTGTGTCCCTTATATGTCTAATGATATCTTTGTTCAGTAGAGTATAAAAATCTTTGATCACAGTCATTTTTCTCTCAGAACATTGATATCATAGAAAGGTATCACATCATCTTAATATGGTCCCAAAGAAGTCTAAACCATTCTATTTCTTTTTTAGGTGCCTTTGGCCACCTCCACAAATCCCCAAAAGTGATGCTTTATTCTTTAGTCTTTATTCTAAGTCCCTAGAATTCAGAATATTCAAGTGATCTGTTAAAAACAAAAACCAGATCTTTTTATTTTATTGCCTGATTCTAGATGATCCATGACAGTATGTAGACTGAAGACTTTTTTAAACTTTGGGAATTTAACTTCTATGATTTTTTTTTTCTTTTTCTTTTCCTAATATTTTTTTTCTCACTCTTTTTTATCCTTTTGAAATCTCTTTGTCAGCCCTCAAGATCTATCCTCTGTGCTGCCTTTTTCCCCCTCATCATGTCTTGTCTCTTTATCCTTTTTCCTTGGAATCAGTACTTTTTGAATAAACTCCTGATGATTCTGAGGTACAGCAAGGTTTGTGAAGCCCTGATATGAATGATCAACAATATCAGATGGAACAAGAGCTTGTAACTCTTGTGCTTGGTGCTTTTTGACTGCCTGATTCAGTCAGTGGCAGGAAATGATATTAGCTATAATTAGAATACCACTTTTAAATGAATTTACCTCTTTTTTAAATGCAATAAATTTGCATGTAGAATACTTCACTAAAATTTGTGTACACACACACACAGGTGATAATCTTTATGAGCTGATCTGACACAATTGAAATTTTCCCTTCATATATTAAACATTGTGTTTTAAATTTTTTTCCAGTATTATCCCAGAGGAAATGAACTGAAAAAAATGTTTAGAGATTTAGGAAAATACTACAATATAGAGAAAAGCTATTAGACAGTAATTCCACTTCTCACAGATAACTATTGTTCACATATAGGTACATTTTATTTAAGTTTTATTTTTTTCACCATTAAATTTAAGGCTGCAGAAATAACTGATACTGTTTCTTTCTTTGTATTTTTTGAATACTTTCTTCAAGATAATGGAAGTAAATGGACAAAATTTTGAGAATATAACATTTGTGAAGGCCCTTGAAATTTTGAGGAATAATACTCATCTTGCACTTACTGTAAAGACCAACATTTTTGGTGAGTTTTGTTGTAAAAAACTATTTGAGCCCTTTTTTTGGTAATAGAAAAGCAAAAAGTCAACAATGACAAGGAGGATAGTAAAAATACTTAAAACATGTTCCTATCTAAGCTTTTTGAACATTTTAGGATCTTTAATGTTTGAATATAATATTCTGTATCCTAGAATTTTCATTTTTTATGTATTTAATTATTTTGAAATCATTTAAGTATACAACTTAGTCATTTATGAAATGTCTACTCAGTATTATGTACTGTACTTCACCTGGAAATACTCAATGAAAAATAGAAGTCATAGGCTTTATTTCTTCCTGCTAATGTGCAAATCAGTCTACTTCTAGTGAAATAGCAGTATCAGTGTGCCAGTTAACTGTTTCATGGAAATGAACAGGGTAAAACATTGAAGTAATTAATCAGTGAATTATTGATTTTTAATAGCAGTATACTCTGCCTTTCTGTGTCAAACTGTTGATTCAGTTCAGTTCAGTCGCTCAGTTCTGTCTTGACTCTTTGCGACCCCATGAACTACAGCATGCCAGGCCTCCCTGTCCATCAGCAACTCCCAGAGTTGACCCACACTCATGTCCATTGAGTCGGTGATGCCATCCAACGATCTCATCCTCTGTTGTCCCCTTCTCCTCCTCCCTCAATCTTTCCCAGCATCAGGGTCTTTTCCAATGAGTCAGCTCTTTGCATCAGGTGGCCAGAGTATAGGAGTTTCAGCTTCAACATCAGTCCTTCCAATGAACACCTTTAGGATGGACTGGTTGGGTCTCCTTGCAGTCTCAAGGGACTCTCAAGAGTCTTCTCCAACACCACAGTTCAAAAGCATCAATTCTTCTGTGCTCATCTTTCTTTATAGTCCAACTCTCACATCCATACATGACCACTGGAAAAACCATAGCCTTGACTAGACGGATCTTTGTTGGCAAAGTAATGTCTCTGCTTTTTAATATGCTGTCTAGGTTGGTCATAACTTTCCTTCCAAGGAGTAAGCGTCTTTTAATTCCATGGCAGCAATCACCAACTGCAGTGATTTTGGAGCCCCAAAAAATAAAGTCTGACACTGCTACCACTGTTTCCCCATCTATTTCCCATGAAGTGATGGGACTGGATGCCATGATCGTAGTTTTCTGAATGTTGAGCTTTAAGCTAACTTTTTCACTCTCCTCTTTAACTTTCAACAAGAAGCTTTTTATTTTTAGTTCCTCTTCACTTTCTGCCATAAGGGTGGTGTCATCTGCATATCTGAGGTTATTGATATTTCTCCCAGCAATCTTGATTGCAGCTTGTGCTTCTTCCAGCCCAGTGTTTCTCATGATGGACTCTGCATATAAGCTAAATAAGCAGGGTGACAATATACAGCCTTAACATACTCCTTTTCCTGTTTGGAACCAGTCTGTTGTTCCATGTCCAGTTCTAACTGTTGCTTTCTGACCTGCATACAGGTTTCTCAAGAGGCAGGTCAGGTGGTCTGGTATTCCCATCTCCTTCAGAATTTTCCACAGTTTATTGTGATCCACACAGTCATAAGGCTTTGGCATAGTCAATAAAGCAGAAATAGATGTTTTTCTGGAGCTCTCTTGCTTTTTCAACGATCCAGCAGATGTTGGCAATTTGATCTCTGGTTCCTCTGCCTTTTCTAAAACTAGCTTGAACATCTGGAAGTTCATGGTTCATGTATTACTGAAGCCTGGCTTGGAGAATTTTGAGCATTACCTTACTAGCATGTGAGATGAGTGCAATTGTGTGGTAGTTTGAGCGTTCTTTGGCATTGCCTTTCTTGGGGATTGGAATGAAAACGGACCTTTTCCAGTCCTGTGGCCACTGCTGAGTTTTCCAAATTTGCTGACATATTGAGTAGAGCACTTTGGCAGCATCATCTTTTAGGATTTGAAATAGCTCAACTGGAATTCCATCACCTCCACTAGCTTTGTTCATAGTGATACTTCCTAAGGCCCACTTGACTTCACATTCTAGGATGTCTGGCTCTAGGTGAGTGATCACACCATTGTGATTTTCTGGGTTGTGAAGATCTTTTTTGTACAGTTCTTCTGTGTATTCTTGCCACTGCTTCTGTTAGGTCCATACCATTTCTGTCCTTTATTGTGCCCATCTTTGCATGAAATGTTCCCTTGGTATCTCTAATTTTCTTGAAGAGATCTCTAGTCTTTCCCATTCTGTTGTTTTTCTCTGTTTCTTTGCATTGATCGCTGAGGAAGGCTTTCTTACCTCTCCTTGTTATTCTTTGGAACTCTGCATTCAAATGGGTGTGTCTTTCCTTTTCTCCTTTGCTTTTTGTTTCTCTTCATTTCGCTTCTCTTCATTTCACAGTTATTTGTTAAGGCCTCCTCAGACAGCCATTTTGCTTTTTTGCATTTCTTTTTCTTGGGGATGGTCTTGATCCCTGTCTCCTGTACAATATCATGAACCTCTGTCCATAGTCCATCAGGCACACTGTCTATCAGATCTAGTCCCTTAAGTTTATTTCTCACTTCCACTGTATAATCATAAGGGATTTGATTTAGGTCATACCTGAATGGTCTAGTGGTTTTCTGAACTTTCTTCAATTTAAGTCTGAATTTGGCAATTTTGGCAGATCATGTGGTTCATGATCTGAGCCACAGTCAGCTCCTGGTCTTGTTTTTGCTGACTGTATAGAGCTTCTCCATCTTTGGCTGCAAAGAATATAATCAATCTGATTTCGGTACGGTACTTGAAGTGTGTTTTGATTTTGTAATTATTTGAATTCAGCAAGTCTAAGTTTCTGCTTTTAACTTAATCTACTATTTGGGTTTTTGTTCTTTTAGCTTTTGAAAAAGACTGCAACTTGGTTAGACTTCATAGGATTTTCTCTCAAATTTTGAGAAGGGCAGCAGTAAAAACAGTATAACAATTGGAACTATCAAAGACGATTTAAGAGTCTTTATGTAGTAAGATGTTTTTCTGGAACTCTTTTGCTTTTTCAATGATCCATCAGATGTTGGCAATTTGATCTCTGGTTCCTCTGCTGAAGAGAGTTCCAGAAAAACATCTATTTCTGCTTTATTGACTATGCCAAAGCCTTATGACTGTGTGGATCACAATAAACTGTGGAAAATTCTGAAGGAGATGGGAATACCAGACCACCTGACCTGCCTCTTGAGAAACCTGTGTGCAGGTCAGAAAGCAACAGTTAGAACTGGACATGGAACAACAGACTGGTTCTAAACAGGAAAAGGAGTACGTCAAGGCTGTATATTGTCACCCTGCTTATTTAGCTTATATGCAGAGTCCATCATGAGAAACACTGGGCTGGAAGAAGCACAAGCTGCAATCAAGATTGCTGGGAGAAATATTAATAACCTCAGATATGCAGATGACACCACCCTTATGGCAGAAAATGAAGAGGAACTAAAAATAAAAAGCCTCTTGTTGAAAGTTAAAGAGGAGAGTGAAAAAGTTAGCTTAAAGCTCAACATTCAGAAAACGATGATCACGGCATCCGGTCCCATCACTTCATGGGAAGTAGATAGAGAAACAGTGGAAGCAGTGTCAGACTTTTATTTTTTGGGGCTCCAAAATCACTGCAGTTGTGATTGCTGCCATGAAATACTCCTTGGAAGGAAAGTTATGACCAACCTAGATAGCATATTAAAAAGCAGAGACATTACTTTGCCAACAAAGGTCCGTCTAGTCAAGGCTATGGTTTTTCCAGTGGTCATGTATGGATGTGAGAGTTGGACTGTGAAGAAAGCTGAGCACCGAAAAATTGATGCTTTTGGACTGTGGTGTTGGAGAAGTCTCTTGAGAGTCCCTTGAGACTGCAAGGAGATCCAACCAGTCCATCCTAAAGGAGATCAGTCCTGGGTGTTCATTGGAAGGACTGATGGTGAAGTTGAAACTCCAGTACTTTGGCCACTTCATGCGAAGAGTTGACTCATTGGAAAAGACCCTGATGCTGGGAGGGATTGGGCGCAGGAGGAGAAGGGGACAACAGAGGATGAGATCGTTGGATGGCATCACCAACTCAGTGGACATGAGTTTGTTTAAACTCCGGGAGCTGGTGATCGACAGGGAGGCCTGGTGTGCTGCAGTCCATGGGGTCACAAAGAGTCGGACACGACTGAGTGACCGAACTGAACTGAACTGAAGTAGTGAGAAGGAAAAAAATTCTTTACATTATTTAGGTTGAATTTTGAGAAATAAGAGTTGAATTTAAAAGCTCTTCCTATGGAAAAGTGTGTGTGTATGTTTTCCCCCACTTTGGCTTCTCCTATACTGCACTTAGTCATAATGAAAAATGAAACATGTGGTGTTTTTCCTCTTTTCACTTGAGTCCCTTTTATTAAATGATGTCATGCTAAAGCTGGCATATAGCAGTCTATTAGCGATTTACAAATATTGTATAAGCACACTTATTTTTAGCATAGTAAACCTATGCTAAAAATTCATTGTTTTTGAATTTCCTAGACTTTGGGCTAGTATCTAGAAATACCAACTTTTGGGTTAAACTGAAAGGATTCTGATTTTGAAAAATATGGAAGCAGAGGTTATTCTGACACTTAAAGCAAATTAGTTTCTCAATTCCGTTTCTGCAGCTCTGTTTCATAGTTTTAAAGAAAATCAATACCTTTAAACTTTTTTTGTTCCTGGCATATAATAATTATTAACTAGTATCAAATGTGGTCGTGTATAAAAACATAGAGATAGTATAATGTAGTGGTTAACACCATAGATCCTGGGAAACAAAATTGATCTGCAGGATGCAAGAGGAAGAGAAACCACAACCTCCGAACTCTTTGAATAATGAGAAACAATTGCCCAAAGAACCCTAAACTGAATGTTACAGAGCATGAGTTATGTGGTGCTGCAGAAGGTGGCCCATTCCCTCAAGACCTCTCTACTTGCCCGCCAGCCAGAATGTAGTCAGCCAGCATTTTCACCATGCAAAATGCCGAAGAGTATCTCAAAGGAATATAAGTAAAACATTTGCTGAAATGAAGTATTTTAGTCTGGTT